ATAAAATGAGCAAGTTTTCTTTTTCTCTATGGATTAAATTTGGATCTTTTCTATTTTGTCATTATTATCAATTTTTGAAACACAAGGCAAAGAGTCAGGATCACCTATGAGATTCCATGCTCTCCAGCTCTGGTAATATTTTACTCTTTGCTATCAACTATCTTTTGATCGGATAGTTAGTACTATAGATTTTTGTCGCTGCGTTTCTCGCTGTTTTATGGTATTTCTCTTTGGAAGTTCCTTCTTACCTGGATACACAGGTGTTTGTCAAGGAAAATTCTGAGTTTGATATCATAGATTCTGAATTTCCGATATGATGTTCTGAACTTGAAATTAGATTCAGCTTCGGAAATTCTTTTTTTTTTTTTTTTTGGCATTTGTATTTATGTTTTTGCTGAACTTCATTCTGCAATATGATTACTTTGTCATTTCTCCGATTCTCTTCTGATCCTTCTTTTCAGGCTTTTCTGTTGTAAAGGATTTATATTTGTTCTGTATTGCTGTTTTACTTTCATCTTCTGCTGCTGTAATTCAAAGCATTTGCGTTCCATATTTGATTTTCTTGAAAAACTGAAATTAACTTGTATGAGCAGAAGAAAAAATTGATGTAAATTAATGGGCATTTTCTTTTCCTGGACTTTCTTCCTAAAACAAAAGGAGCTTAATAGTTTTGTACTGTGGTGTCAAGAACTGTCTTACCATCCTTTGTTCATTAAGTTTTTATCTTTTTCAAATAATTAGTAGATTTATCTGGTTGAAATTTTAAAAAGAAAAACTTGAAGAACAATTTTCCCAGAGCATTTCCATTGTAATAATATGATACAAGGAAGAACAGCTTCCTTGCAGTACAAGTAACAAATTACAGCAATGATGTGAATGCATTATTTAAAGGCTTTCTCTTTTGATGAATAAATTCTACAAGAGAATTGGTATATAAACAAAAGTTATTCACAGGGTTCTCTCGCTCTTCTCTCTAAAGCAAATGGGAAGCAATTAAAGATAACATAAAACTTCCTCGCTATCGCAAGTAAAATAAATTTTTGTTGAAAAAATGTAGGGCTCTTGGGGAAATCTCTTTCATGGTTCAAACTCTGGCAGATTGGTATTGGACAAGAATTCCATCATCGAAGTGAATATTTCGATTGAGATCTTGTCCGAGTCTGATCTCTTAAGTGAATAACTGACTTGGATATGTTAAATAATGAATTTTTCTGTAGCTAATGACTCATTCTTTCTGCATGAGATGCTGAACATCTCCCATCTCCATTTCACCACTCTCTGCTTCATCCTGAAATAACAATTCAATTTGCTCCAATGATTTTCCTTTTGTCTCCGGAACAAGTGCGTAGACAAAGAGAACCGAAAGAGCTGATATTGCTGAGAAAATGAGAAATGTTCCAGCAAACGTAATTGCACTTGAGACCGAGAGAAAAGACATGGCAATCAAGCCACTGGAAACCCTATTCCCCATGGCTCCAAGAGCCGCTGCTTGAGCACGCAACTTCAAAGGGAAAATTTCAGATGTCAAAACCCAGCAAACAGGGCCAATCCCCACAGAAAAGAAAGCCACATTTCCGCAGACAAACAAAATTGCTAATGCAATCCCAATCTGTCCGTTCCCGAGGAAAGCAAGGGTAAGGCCTAAACTGAACAAACAAACCGTCATGCCAATTGTGCTGATATAAAGCAAAGGTTTTCTGCCTAGTTTGTCAATCAGAAATGTGGCGACCAATATGAAGGCAGTCTTCGTAACGCCAACAGCAACTGTAGCTGCAAGAAGCTTTGAATTGCTCTTAATCCCAGCTTCCTTTAAGATTTCAGGGCTGTAATATACAGTGGCATCTATTCCAGTGATCTGCTGGAAACACTGGATTCCAAACCCGACTATAAGCATCCTACGAACTGAAGGGGAAGGCCTCAACAATTCACGCCACACAGCTTTCTTTTCATACTTCTCTGCATTAGCAAGTCCAGCAGCAAGTTGTATTTCAGCAAGCCTCTCTTCCACCTCTGCCTTATTGTCATTTGTTTTCACAGGACTGATCTTGCTTCATCTATTCG